GAAACTATATCCCATGTTATTGATAGCGGCTACTGCCCATAGAATGAAGCAAAAACTGGCCAGGTGCAATTGCCATTTTCCCCATTCACCCACTATGTCAGCGATATGTTTCACGTTTGACTTTTGGGAGTCAACCATTTTCTGGTCAATGATTCAATTGAACAAAATTTTTACAACACTTTCAGATATTTATTGATTTGAGTAAATACTGTGAACTTCTTGATATATTCAGTTAAATGGCTTTAAGACTTAAAGCAAACAATTTTGGGCTTAATCTATATTTGAATTAATGTCACAACTGGACTGATTATCATTTCATAGTGCTTTGTTTATAAAATTTTTATATTAAGTGCAACTTATCTCTCAATTAAATTAATCAAAGTGTGTGTTAACTATCAATAAATAGTATATAAATATGAAACACTTTCAGATATTTATTGATTTGAGTAAATACTGTGAACTTCTTGATATATTCAGTTAAATGGCTTTAAGACTTTAAGCAAACAATTTTGGGCTTAATCTATATTTGAATTAATGTCACAACTGGACTGATTATCATTTAATAGTGCTTTGTTTAGAAAATTTTTATATTAAGTGCAACTTATCTCTCAATCAAATTAATCAAAGTGTGTGTTAACTATCAATCAAATAGTATATAAATATGACACAAACTTATTTATAATATTACAAATATTTATACATTTATATGATTAATTTTAATGAAATATGAATTAATTGTAAATGCTTAATTTAAATGGGATATTCATATAGATGTTTTAAAATGTAAAGTATCAGATTACATATAAAATTATACATACTAAAAAATTGTGTTATTATATTACTGTATTTACATTGTTCAAGTTATAATTTATACTGAATAACTGCAAACATTTTGATAAGAATTTATAATTTTTTTTATGTAAAATAAAATTATTAGTTAAGATTTTCTATTATTTTGATTTTGTTTATCCTTATTGTTATTCAATTCAATTGAATCAACATTTTCTGCCTCTTCTATAGTATCAGGAATTTCTCGTCCCTTTGTTTCGGGAAGAAATAGTCCCAAAACGGCGCCGACACATGTGAGGGTACCATACAGTGTCATAACCAGTGATAATCCAGTAGTGGCCGCCTTTATATATAAAGCAAAACATTATTTAAATAATAGGATACTAATAGTTTGTATAATTATTACCAAATTTTTCATAAAGGGTGCGCTAATGGATCCAATCCTTCCGATGACAGACGCGACACCCAGTCCCCTTACCCTCAAGACTGTGGGGTAGAGCTCGGAGCCGTGTACTGATATCACATTCCAGGCACTATTCACTCCAAATTTGCCTATTAATGCAAACATCACTTTAAGCCATTCACTGGTGGACGGGATGACCGCAAAACAAGAGACACCAGTCATGACCATAAATATTGCAAATAATATTCTGCGACCAATAAAGCGAAGGAATAGCGCCGACAATATCTGTGAGGGTAACTCTACCAGTCCTGACAATAGGAAGGTTATGTAAAAATTACCTCCAAAGTCAGACATATTAAAACTGAGTCCATAGTAAAGAAGTGTGATTGTAATCCAGCTATACCATGTTATAAATGATATTTTTCTAAGTTTAGGTGTTTTTACCAGGTCTAATATTGTGTATTCTTGGTTTGCACTTTCAGTTGATTGCACCTTAAGTTAAGACATTATAATATTATTCAAATATAATGTGTTATCTTTTGAATCATTTAGAAAAAATTTATATACTTTTTGTAGATATTCATATAACTCAGACAATTGTGCCTTCAAATTCTCGTCAGACCTGTCATTCATTTTTAGTGCATTTCTGAGTGTCTGTTCAGCTCTGTCTACCTGTCCATTGGTTATCTGCCAACGTGGAGACTCATACAGAAAATAAAACCAAAATAACATTACAGTCAATGGTATTAATGNTCTGTTCAGCTCTGTCTACCTGTCCATTGGTTATCTGCCAACGTGGAGACTCATACAGAAAATAAAACCAAAATAACATTACAGTCAATGGTATTAATGACGCAAATTGCATATATCGATAATCTTGCAGCCAATACGCCAACCCGGGTATCCCAGCGTAACCTATGACCCAACCAATGCAACTCAGAATAACTATGTCTGACCTGTACTTAGGTCCACAACATTCTAATACTATTTGATTAAATAATTTAAAATTACAAGTTAAAAATAACATGTAAATTAACTCACACATTATATAGATAGCCATTTCCCTGCCAGAACTACCCATTCCTACCAGAAATCGGGCGATTGAGTAGAAATAAATATTAGGTGAGACGGCACACAACAATATGCCCGTCAACTCTATTGTGAATCCCAGCCAAACAATAGGTCTTCGGCCGTATTTATCTGAATAATGAGAGAATACCAGTCCCGATATGACGTACCCCAACATATATAATGTTTGCGAAAATGATGCGAAATTAGCTCGGTCACATACTAAATTAAACTATTGTTTTAATATTAGTTATGTTTTATACAAGTTTTATTAATAAGCATTTACTTCACTATTAATAGAGTTTCCAAACTTTGTCCGATCGTATTGCCATTCATTACAACTTTCATTTGGATTCATATATTTGAAACATTTCATGTCTTTTGTTTATACAAGTTTTATTAATAAGCATTTACTTCACTATTAATAGAGTTTCCAAACTTTGTCCGATCGTATTGCCATTCATTACAACTTTCATTTGGATTCATATATTTGAAACATTTCATGTCTTTAGTTTTATTCTAGTTATAAAATTTATAAGTACTGTAGTTATATTTTATAAATTTATTCACAGGTAGTATAAACACTATTTAAAAATAACTTTAACGATAATAAATATTTTACCGGATACTCGTAAGGAACATCACTGCACCAAAAATCATTATCATAAGCATGGAAACTATATCCCATGTTATTGATAGCGGCTACTGCCCATAGAATGAAGCAAAAACTGGCCAGGTGCAATTGCCATTTGCCCCATTCACCCACTATGTCAGCGATATGTTTCACGTTTGACTTCTGG